GTTCCATTGGTCTATCTGTCTATCATTGTACCAATACCATGCTGTTTTGACTACTGTGGCTGTATAGTAGGTTTTGAGATCTGGAAGTGTGAGACCTCCCACTTTGTTCTTCTTCACTAGTGCTTTGCTTATCTGAGGTCTCTTTCCTTTCCACATGAATTTAGTAACTGTTTTTTTTTCATGTCCTTAAAAAATTTTGTTGGTATCTGGATTGGGATTGCATTCAATGTGTATATGGCTTTAGGTAGTATTGACATTTTTCACAACATTCAGTCTACCTATCCATGAACAAGTCAGGTTCTTCCATTTAGGTAGATCCTTTGTTGTCTCCTATAGTAGTGTTTTATAGTTTTGTTTGTGTAGGTCTTTTGTGTCTCTGGTAAGATTTATTCCTAGGTATTTTATCTTTTTAGTAGCTATCATAAATGGTATTGTTTCCCTATTTCTTTTTCAGAGGTTTCTTTGTTGGTATAGAGGAATCCAACTGATTTTTATATGTTGACCTTGAATCCTGCCACTTTACTGAACCTCTTTATTAGGTCTAGTAGTTTTTTTGCTGAGTCTATTGAGTTTTCCATGTATAGGATCATGTCATCCACAAATAAAGATAGGTTTACTTCCTCTTTGGCAATTTGGATGCCTTTTATTTCTGTTTCTTGCCTTATCGCCCTGGCTAGGGCTTCCAATACAGTGTTAAATAGGAGTGATGATGGAAGGAATCCTTGTCTGGTTCCCATTTGTGAGTGGAATGCTTTGAGTCTTTCTCCATTAGTAATAATGTTGGCCTTGGGTTTGCATATATGCTCTTTATTATGTTGAGGCATTTCCCTTCTATCCCTATTTTGGTGAGAGTTCTGAACAGGGATGGGTGTTGGATTTTATCAAATGCCTTTTCTGTGTCGATTGATATGATCATATGATTCTTTTCTTATGTCTATGTGGTGGATTACATTAATTGTTTTTCTGATGTTGAACCATCCTTGCTCCATGTAGACTATTAATGCTGTCCCTTGAGCCTAGGATTCAAGAAGTCCTATGTCAAGACAGATAACATTTTAAATAAATACAGTTATCAGAATATGTCATTTTAAGCTGTTAAATATTTTTTTTTTAAGGTATTAATTTTTTTTTTTTTATTAGGATTTGGGTGAAGATTTACAGAGTAAATTCACTTGTTAAATATTTTAAGAATAGGATGCTGTATGATTTTTAAATTTTTATTCTATGAGAACAAAAAGCTGTTCAATTGTAAAATTAACTTGAAACTTTGCTTAATTTTTCTTTCCCTTTAGTGGCCTCATTGGGCGAAGCTGGGCGATGCTGTTTGCCAGTGGAGGCTTCAAGGTGAAACTTTATGACATTGAGCAAGAGCAGATAACAAATGCCCTGGAAAACATCAGGTAAATCAGCTGACACCATCTGGGAGGAATTGAACTAGCTGTGTTTCTCTGAGTTGGTCTGCTTTATTATAGTCTTGGCCGTTTCACACTTTCACTTGAGGACTCTTGTAGTGCCTTGGGGTTGGAAAGGTCAGAGACCTAAGGTGGCTGAACTATGACATTAGACTAGAGAAGGAATTCAGAAAACCCATAAGATTGTGAAACAAAGTGATGGAAGCAGAGTATTGAACCTGAATCTTAGGTTTTCCAGCCTGAATGAATTTGTGAACTTCTGCTGTTTCACACAGGCTGGAGGGTTGGGATTTCCTGTGTTCTTTCTCTGCAGGACATACCCACCATTGGCCTGCGATAGCAAGAGTATGTGGGTGTTAAGTCTTAGGAACAGCCGTCCTGAGGTTTATTTTGACCTTTTGGCCTAATGTTGGCAAGACCGACATCGAAATGACTTGAATTTTAGTTTGAGATTTATTCACTGGAGGTACATGGGTGACCAAGACAGATACAGCCCTGCTCATTGTCAAGGTTATAGTCTAGTAATGTAACTTTCTTATCTCTTAATAAACCTAGGGAGGCAGACATTATCACCATTATATTATGAGAAAACTTGGGCCTATAATTGGTCAATAACCTGCTAAAAAACATTAAAATGTAAGATTCCAGCCATGGTCTCTCTGATTTCTAAAACATGTTAAGTGTGGGTAGGTCTAAGCACCGTCAGTATCCATTATAGAGATTTTGCAAATATAACTTACAATGTTTGCTATATACAAAATAAGGAGCTCTGGTGGCACAGTGCCTAAGGCAACTGACTGCTAACCAACAGGTTGGTGGTTCAAACCCACCAGCCACTTTGTGAAAGGAAGACTGGGAGATCTACTTCCTTAAAGATTTACCACTTTGGAAACCCAGAGGGTGTTGCTATGAGTCAGAATTGGCTTGATGGCAGGGAGTTTGGTTTTTGGTTTTATATATGAAATAATAGTTACTTTGTGTGATTTTATGAAGAAGAGTAATAGTATGAACACCTATGAACCTGCCACTCAACTTAAGATCTAGTAAATTGTCAATACCCTTAGTGTACCTTTTGGATTTCATCCCTCTGTCTTCTCACCAGAGGTAACCAATCTCCTATATTTTGTGTCCACCATTTCCTTCCTTTAAAAATTAGCTTTTATTATATATATATATGTATCCCTAAACAATATATAAAGAGCTCTGATGGTGTAGTGGGTAAGGCATTTGGTTTCTATCAGACGGTTGATGGTTCTAACCCACCAGCTGCCCCACAGGAGGCAGATGAGACAATCTACTTCTGTGAAGATTTATAGTCTTGGAAACCCAATGGGGGTCACTATGAGTTGGAATCAAGTTGATGGCAGTGGGTGGGTAAACAATATATGGTTTAGTTTTGCTTGTTATTAAACTTTATAAGAATAATATTTTTGAGATTCATCTATGTTATTGCTTCTAGCTGTAGTACCTCCATTTTCACTGCTGTATAATATTCCATTCTGTGAATTTGCTATAAGTTATTTATCTTTTATCCTTTTGATGAGCATTATAGCTGTTTTCAGTTTGGGACTATTGTAAACAATGCTACCATTAATATTCTTGCATTTGTCTCCTGATTTCATTTGTAAGAATGAAATAAGTACAAGAGTTTATACAGGGTACATACCTAAGGGTGAGGTTTCTGGTTCTGTTTCCCTTGTAGGGTCCTGATTAGATGTATATTGTGCCATCTTACTATACCCTTCATGTCTTTTAGCCTCTCTTTCATATTTTCCATTTCCCTGTGTCTTTTATTGTTATTATTTTATTCTTGTGATTTGGGTGAAAGTTTACAGAGCAAATTGGTTTTCCAATCAACAGTTCATACACATTTTGTTTTGTGACATTTGTCTCAATCCCCATGATATAACTGCACTCTTCCCATTTACTCCTGTGTTTACCATTTCCCTTTGTCCTTTTTCTTATTCCTTCCTGCTTTTTGAGCTTTATTCCTGAGGAAATGTGGTCCTTCTGATTTCTTATGGTTGATTGCTCTAATCAGTGCATACCTACCTGGTATTGTTATTCACCTTATAGACCTATCATTTGGCTGAACGTTGAGCCATGGGAATGAGTTCAATTCCAGGCTTGAAGGGTGTCTAAGAACCATAATCTAGGGGGTTCCACCAGTCTCTATTAGGCCAGTAAGCCTGATCTTTTTTATGATTTAGAGTTTTGTTTAACATTTTTCTCCCACTCTACTCTGTCTGGCACCTTCTGTTGTGATCCCCTTTCAGAGTGATCAGCAGTGGTAGCTGGGCACCCCGTCTAATTCTTCTGGTCTTGATTGTGGAGGCTGGGGTTCACGTGGTGCATTAGTCTTTTGGGCTAATTGTTTTCCTGTATTTTTTTTTTTTAATTTATTTTTTAAAAATACATTCTGGATACAGTCTTCAGATCTTTCTTCTAGTTCACCAGTTCTCTTTTTGGCTTTGTGTATTCTGCTATATAAACTATCCACTGGGTTTATTTAAATAATCTTATCTTTCATTTCAAAGTTTTCTTTGATTCTTTTCTCTATCTATCTATCTACGAAACTCATTGCCTTTGAGTTGATTCTGACTTATAGCAACCCTGATTGGGTTTCCAAGGCTGTAAATCTTTTATGGAAGCAGACTGCTTCATCTTCCACAGAATAGCTGTGACCAAACGCCAAATGCCTTAACCACTATACCACCAGAGCTCCATATCTATGTCTCTATGGAAAAGGATATCATGCTTGGTAAAGTGGAGGGTCAGCGAAAAAGAAGATGCTCAAAAAGATGGATTGACACAGTGACTGCATCAATGGGCTCAAGTATAGCAAGGATTGTGAGAATGGTGCACAACCAGGCAGTGTTTCATTCTCTTGTAATAGAGTTGCTGTAAGTCAGAGCTGACTCGATAGCACCTAACAACAGCATATACATATACATGTATATTCTTCCTCATTTTAAATTGTTCATCATTGTTTTGCTCACTGTTCATGGTTCCATTTTTAAATTCTTCGAGCATTTAGCATATAGTTTGTTTATATTCTATATACAATCATTCCAGTATCTGAAGTTGTCTTAGATCATTCTCCTCAGAATCATATTCTGAGATGAGGATTCATGTGTTCCTTTATTAAGGAAGTGCTCCCAGGAGAAACCAGTGAACGAATAGGGGAGACAGAACAAAGGAGAGGAAGAAGCTAAGTCAAGGGATGGTTTCAGGAGAAGTCTCAGGCCACACAGGGTTCCATGGACATCTGAAGCATAAAGTCACTGCAAATTTTGTCACTCCTCAAGGCAAGGGAGTGTGCTTTATCTTCCTGCATTAGCCATTGCCTGTGGGCCAGCTGAGTGGATATGAGCTCCTAGTACCTCCTGGGGCAATCTACTTCTGTAGTGATACTGCCTCGGAAACCCAAGGAGGGGTCACTATGTCAGGTTTGACTTGAAGGCACATAACAACAACAACAACAACAACAACAGTACTCCCAGTGCTCTGAAGAATGCTGAAGGTGTGAGCCTTCAGTGACACAAAATTAGAAGCTGTAGGATAGCCACACAGTACTGTTAAAGGGATCCAAAGGGACCTAGTGGAGACCAATGGCGTCCACTACAGAAATCCTTGGGGGCTGCAGTGAATTGCTTGATGTGGTCCTTCTAGCCATTGTCCTCCATTCTGTGATGTTTTGTAAATCCCATTATCCGTGCCTGTTTGGGGTGCTGTGGTAGTTAAGGTCAGGTATCAACTTGGC